GCAGAGCTACTTTCCAGCAGGTCAACCCCCAGCCTGTACTGGCGCACGGGATTATTCCTGCCTAGGTGCAGGACCTTGCACTTGCCTTTGTTGAACTTTAGGAGGTTCCTCTCCGCCCAGCTCTCCAGCCTGTCCAGGTCCCTCTGAATGGCAGCACAGTCTTCTGGTGTGTTAGCCTCTCCCCCCAGTTTAGTATCATCAGCAAACTTGCTGAGGGTGCACTCTGTCCCTTCCTCCAGGTCATTGATGAATATATCGAACAAGACTGGACCCAGGACTGACCCCTGGGGGACACCACTAGCCACAGGCCTCCAGCTTGACTCTGCGCCACTGACTACAACCCTCTGAGCTCTGCCATCCAGCCAGTTCTCAAGCCATCTCACCGTCCACTCATCTAGCCCACACTTCCTGAGCTTACCTAGGAGGATGTGATGGGAGACAGTGTGCAAAGCCTTGCTGACATTTGTTTAAAAAATGAGATGGCATTTTCCTCTCACAAAAAAGAAATTGGGAAAGAAAGACCAAATACATGCATGAAGGGCTTTCACACGAATATAACTTGTTCAAGCAAACTGAAAATCTCAGCAGGTAGAGTTAAGAATAACCTGATATAATTAAATAATATAGACTTAAAACTCAAAAAACCCCACATATGTTCCCTTTGCTGTTTGAAGACATAATGCCACACATTTTTTTCTTCTTATACTCCCCCAAAAGTGAAAGTGTAGCAGTTTTTGTGGTAAATTCTTTATCCTCAAAATATGCCATACTATCCACAAGGAAAGTTCAAGAACATCTTTCATCCTTTTTATTCTATAATGGAAGAAAAGCAGTCACTTATAATTATCTTTCTTTTAGTAAGGAAGAAGAGAAAGATCAGCCATTCAGAATTTACTGCCATGTTTCCAGCAGTAAAACAGCAGGATCAAGGAAAACGAAAAGGACTTGTATAGCAAGTAAAAGACATGGACCAGCATACTTAAAAATACAGAATGGAAGAGGAACAAAAGAAATGTATTTTTTAATTTTTTATTTTTTATTTTTTATTTTACTATACGTAAATCTGCAGCCTGCTGATGGGAGGTTAGACTGTGTTGCTCAGTACTGCCTGGTGCTACAAACACACTTCTTTGTGAATAATGCATATTATGATATAAACCACAATTCAAAGTGAAAAGCACGATTTTTTTCAGGTGCATATGGGTATAATGAAATAAATGTATTTTAGGTATTTAATTACATACACTGTTAAAAGGATTATTTTTTACAGAAATAAAACAAGAATATATTAATTGTGTTCCCTGACTTACACAATTGTAACTAAGACCTACTTTGAGATAGTGAAATTCTAGGCAGAGATGAACAGATAGAAAAAAAGAAGACTTGAACCTTCAAGTGCTTTCAAGTACAACTCAAAAGGAAGTAGTTAGGGAACTGAATTCAAAAGAATATGAGTTAGAATGGATAGCTATAAAAAGTGAACCTTTCAGAGGAAATAAAATAGCAAGGACATTCAGTACGTGCAAAGGATGTAAAGCTGTAACTGAATAAAATTACTCCTACCTGCAGCTTCTAATAGTGGAAGAGAATGAGTTAACTACAGTAAAGACTTCACTAGGAAAGAAGCATTTGTGAAGACAAATACCGGTCAGAGAATAACAGCCTTTGTAGAGTTTGCTGGAGAAATCTCAGTAAGTAGCATGAGTCAGGCAAAAAGGCCAGAAGTCCAATTCCGTATGTACACAGAAACCTCTTAATTCAAAGCAAATTTATAAATACCCTTAAAATACACTTTTTTGGTAAAGAAT